GCCTCTCAAGCCACTAGAATTAAAGGTGTTTGCCACCGTGCCCATCTGAAATCTTATCTTGATAGTATTTCAGACTACTCAATCCTATTTGCAAAATCATGTATGACCCAGTTTGTAATTGTGAATTTTCAAGAGAGATAAGCTCCTCTTTTCCATTGGTACCAAGTTTTAAGGTAGGCAATTTTCCTTGAGTCCTTTGAGGAAGAGGATAGGGCAGATTAATTTCTAATTCACTTTTAAGATTAAGAGGCAGATCTTTCAGTATGCCAGTTTTATGCTGGAAAGGTTTTCTATATGTTGGGTGGTCACCAAGCGTTGTTTCCTATTCTCTGCACTTCATGAACTTGTGAAAGTGAACCTCAAGTTCATGTGATGGTTAAGACAACATTGAGGGACTGAAGATGTAGCTCAGTGGTAGAGCATTTGCCTGGCATGCATAAAGCCCTGGGCTTGAACCCCAGCACTCTAAAAACAAAACAAAAAATTGAGACAACATTAAGACAAAACTGGCTTATAATCTTTGCCTATTTTTGGTCTCTGTTGATTTCCCTAGTTTATTTTTAACCACTTTATTAAAGTACGATTATCACATAAAAAACTGCATGTATTTAGGTGTATTCAACTTGATGAATTTGGAGGTAAGTATACCCATAAAATCATCACCACAATCAATGTCATCAGTATTTCCAAAAGTTTTCTCCTGCCCTATTATTTCCAAAGATTTGCTCCTGCACTATTATTATTTAGTGATAAGAACACTTAACATAAGATCTACCCTCTTTTGGTTTCTTAGCATCTTAGAAGAGCATGCTTGGGAAAAAAGTCTAACCTCTTAGCAAATTTTTAAGTACACAATAAGATATTGCTAACTAGAAGCCCTGTGTGTTGTATAGTAGATGTCTGGGATTTATTTATTTTGCATAACTGAAACTTTGTTCCTTTTGACCAGCACCTTCCTTTTCTCTCTCCCAGCTCCTTGTAATCACCCTAAGTGGCATCATTAATATTTCTTCTTCTATGTGTGACTTATTTCACTTTTCATAATGTGTTCTAGGTTCATTTATGTTGACCCCTACTTTTTAGAAGCTCATGGAATATTTTAAAAGTTTTATGGAATGTTTTGTAAATATTTTAACTACTGTTAATTCTTGAGAGATATAAATCGATTGTTTGATGCTTCTGCTGACTCATGCATAGTGGTTGCTTTTTGGTACACTAGTAATCTTTGATTGTGATTTTAATCTGTAGGAGTCTTATATGAGGGTTTGTTTCAGATTCTCTTGTGGACCAGGGTAACTACTAACCAGAATTACCCAAGCCTCCTTTTAGCTTAATAGCTTCAAGTGGGAATGCCAGCTTCAGTTACTCGCCTCACCCCTGGTCTAATTTTCAGTCCACTCCATGTTACAGCAGCTTAGGAAAAGACATCATTTCATTTACCTACTTCCTTAGAAGGAAAGGAAAGTTGCCCTTCCATGATGTGATTGCTGCCATCCATTAGGTACAAACTGTCCTCAGTACATGTTTACCAAGCAAGGGCTGTGCTTAGAGTATCCCCTCTCTTCTATGCTGCTTGTCCCTCCAGCCCAATTTCTTTTGAGTGGTACTGGAGATTGAACCCAGGGGTGATCTATCACTTAGCTACATTACAGCCCTTTTTTTGGAGGGGGGGGAGTACCAGGAATTAAACTCAGTTGCACTCAAACCTGGAGCCATATCCTCAGTTCTGTATTTTATTTAGAGATAGAGTCTCACTGAGTTGCTTAGTGCCTCACTTGTTTTGCTGAAGCTGGCTTTGAACTCAAGATCTTCTTGCCTCCAGCCTCCTGAGCTGCTGAGATTACAGGCGTGCACTGTGCCTGGCTCATTACAGCTCTTTTTGAGACAGGACCTCACTAAGTTGCCCAGTCTGGCCTCAATCCTTCTGTCTCAACCTCCTGAGTGGTGTGTCACCACTCCTGGCTTTGTTTTACTTTCTTATCTAGCCCTTCATCTTGAGGATGGGTACAATCTCAGGTTAAACATTTTTCTTCGCAGTCAAATCCAACATTGGCCATTGCGTGTGGCAACTCCTATCAGGAGCAAGTTGTATTTGAATTACTATGATTATCTCCTGGACAGAACCACAGAGGCAATAAGGATTCCAACTATCCCTTAGTAATCTTCAATCCTTTTCACAGGTCAGAACATTCTTTAGGTGTTTAGCAATGTTCTTTTTTCTTTTTTTGGTACCAGGGATTGAACCTGGGGGCACTTAACCACTGAGCCATATCCCCAGCTCTTTTTATTTTTTCACTTTGAGACAAGTTCTTGCTAAGTTGCTGAGGCTGGCTTTGAACCTCCGATTCTCCTGCCTCTGCCTCCTAAGCCACTGAGATTATAGGTGTGTGCCACCGTGCCTGGCTATAAATGTTCTTTATACAATGGAAATAATAGTGGTAATAGGCTATGTATCCTAAATAATAAAGGTAATAGGAAATAATAATGGACTGGGCTTCTTCACAAACCATAAATCTAAGAATAATCCTGTTTCTTTTTTAAAAAATATTTTTTAGTTGTAGATGAACACGGTATCTACATTTTATGTATTTATTTTTATGTGGTACTTTTATTTTAATTCATCACTTGTTTCTAACTGCCATGTTCTTTTTTGCAGAAAAACGTTGTTCTAGTCCCTACATCCTAATCTATATTCCAAATTCTAATGTTTCTGTTTTTCAATTTCACAGACCCTCTCCCCTAACATCTGTTGTTGCCCTTACCTCTTCCCTTCTCCCCTGAACTGCTGCTTAGTCAGCACTTAAAATAAACTAGATTCTGAGATAATTGCCTGTTACATACCATCTTATCTATCTTATCCCACTCTATGAGATGGTAACATTAAAATTTCCCATGGTATAGATGAGAAAACAGAGGCTCAAGAATTTGGCCAGTGTTCATTTAGTGAAGATAGAATTTGTAACAATTACATATGTTTTATGGTACTGGGTATTGAAACCAGGAGTGTTCTCTTATCTCCATTCCAAGTCCATGTATATATTTGTATTTTCACTTTATTTGAGACAAAGTCTCATAAATTGCCCAGGCTGGCCTTGAACTTGTGATCCTCTTGCCTCAGCCTCCCAAGTAGCTGCAATTATAGGTGTGTGCCTGCCTTTTAATTTAACTTTTAAAGTTATGATGTGTTTGGCTTTATGGAAAACAAAACAAAGTGGTCTCAACAATAATGAAATAAAAAGGTGCTTAATTCAGTGGCTCTCCATTACTGTCAAAACCTCAGGTGTTTTATTCTGTCAGCCATCTTTGATGTATTCAGGCTTTGTCTCCAGGTTAACACTCCCAGAATGTTTAGAGGCAGAAGTAGCCATTTTTCGTGTGCATGTCTTTTTAAGAGCAAAGAAACTTTTCCCAGGATGCTCCCCTAACCTTGCCCTAGCAGACTTTCCCTCATATTGCCCAAAACACCAGAATGCTTCCCTAGTTATTGGCTAGGGGATCAGTATGGGCCTAAACTAATTAAGGCTGGCTGTCCCTTAAGTTCCTGGCCGATTATTAGAAGGGAAATAGAAGTAGGGGATAGAAAATAGATAGAAACTTCGACCGGAAGTGTCTGTCACAGAATCTAAAGTCCTGGTTGTTAATGTTGACAGACTTCTGTTATTCTGGGCTCTCCCCTCAGCTCCTATCTTCACTCTAGCAGATTTTCTTAACTGTGAGCCAGTCTCCTAAATGACACATGCCAAGGCTATCCTTGGCAGAACAGTGAGGAATGTGAAATGTGTTCCTTGGGCCCCTGACATACACTGAGATGTCAGTGTTGTGCATGGTCAGCACAGGCAGTCACAGCCTGGGACTGGGAAGATGAGCAGTGAAGTGAATCTAGTTGGGAAAGTGGCCAGCCTGGCCCTGACTCAGCCCAGAGCTAATTTCTAATCATGCTTCTCCTTCTCTCTGCGATTTGGTCTTTATAGTGCTTTTTCTTCTCTTTGAATTTGGTACATTTTCTTAATAAATTTTAATTTGTCCCTTAGTTTTATAACTCCAGCACTAACCTCAAAGCTCCTTCCCCTAAATTTCCAGTAAGAATACCTATATTGCCAGGCATGGTGATTAAGGGCATATGCCTGTAATCCCAGCAGCTGAGAGGCTGAGGCAGAAGGACTACAAGTTCAAAACCAGCCTCAGGAACTTAGCGAGGCCATCTCAAAAACAAAATATAAAAAGGGTTGGTTGTGGCTCAGTGGTTAAGTGCCCCTGGGTTCAATCCATGGTGGAAAAAAAAAATCTCAAAACCATCAAACAAAAAACCAAACAAACCCCAAAACAAAAAACCTATATCCACTGAATGTAAGATCATTGATCTTCCATGTGTCAGAAGCTGAGAGATAACATCAGACAAAAAGAGGAAATGCAGTTCTGGTGGCTGTGTGCCACTTCTTTCACACATACTAGCTTACTTTATCCTTAAGTACGTCAGTAGGTTAGGTTATTTTAACCTTCACATATTGTTTAGGAATTCAGGTTCAGAAGAATTTACCTGCTCTGAGAGTTTGTGTCCACTCAAGGCCACAAGCTATTATGAGCCCACATCTGCCTGGCCTCATGGCTATGTTCTTCTCTACACAAACACTTTGGTTTCATAGTATATGTATGTGTATGTATGTATGTATGTATGTATGTATCTATCTATCTATCTATCTATCTATCTATGGCCAGGGATGTGGCTCAGTGGTAAGAGTGCTTGTCTGACATGCACGAAGTCCTGGGTTCAATTCCCCAGTGCCCCCTCCAAGTGTACATTAATTTGTACCGTACAGCAAGAGTATAGAGTGAGTAGTGCTGTGTGCATTTGTAAACAGACAGTGGGGTTCAGACATGCCCCAAAGCCATGGAACTTAGCTTTTTTGAATGTGCACATACCACTCTTGGTATGCCAAGCAGAACATTGCATATTTGTTAAGGGGTGATTCAGATTATAAAGGTTTTCAACAAATAATGCTTGTTAAACTACTTCAATGAAAAAACTTATTACCTAGAGTTTTCCGGGTTCCTTTTTTCCCCAATCATCTCCCCTCATACCTTTTCCCAAGGACCTCACTCACAGGGGCACCACAGCTATACCTCCTCAGGCCCTGATCACATGGAGGCCTCAAGGAAGACTTCTGATAGAGACCTGAAGGGCCCTAGAGGTTTTTGCCCTCCCACCTCAAGGCTTCCTTTTTCTCGGAGTGGACAAATTGGATTTCTCAGCCTCTTCCTTGCCTTGGGTGGCTTGTCCTGTGGCAGATACCGGTGAGCCCATTCTCTGGCTCTGCTGGCCTTGGCTCCCACGAGTCATCACATTAGTGCTACCCTACCCCCTCCTCCTCCAGCTCCGCCTCCTTCCTCTGGCTCCACAGCCTTGGACACAGTACACAGAAGCTCAGCAGGAAGGGAAACAAAAGGAACTTCCTGGGTTCCCATGGCTGTGTCCAGCAACTTCATCCCAGGACTCAGTCCTCTGAGCCCTCACTATATCCCAGGGTAAGACTTCTATTCAGAGTACTCCTCTGCTGGCTTCTGGGACTTAGATATAGGAGTTGGGTCACCTAACCCTTGGGGTCAAGTGGATGTATTGGTTTGAGAGATCCAAGGTATCTATGGTGCTAGGCAGGGAGGAAAAGCAAGAGGATGCAATAGCTGGGTCTGTCACAAAGTACTATGTTGTCTTCTCCATGGGAACAGCAGAGAAGTAGGACTGGAAGCCCAGGCAGAGGCTTTAAAAACACCTGCTCCAAATATCTACACAGCCAAGTCCAGAAATATCAAGGCTTTAGAGGGTTCTTCTGTCTCTGGGGATGGTGAGGCAGGGGGATTCTGGAGGTGAGTGGGTGGGTCCTGTGCTACAGGTACACTGGACATTGCCCACTACTTCGGTTCAGCATGGGCCAGACCTACGGGCAGCTGACTGGTCAGCTACTTCGAGGCCCTCCTGGCCTAGCCTGGCCCCCTACCCACCGCACACTTCTGCCTCCCATTCGTTCTCCGAGATCTCCTGAGCTTCCCAGGAAGAGCCTCCCTCCCAGGCATGGGCATGAAAGGCTCAGCTCCAGCATGATCCCTGGGTACACAGGTTTGTATACCAGCCTGAACAGGGGCTGCCATCCCATAGCATGTGTCCCCAGTACTAACATATCTTCCTTGTTCCCTGCACACCAGGTTTTGTACCCCAGGCACAGTTCATCTTTGCTAAGAACTGCAACCAGGTCTGGGCTGAGGCTCTGAATGGTTTTACTCAGTGGCATGGTGGGCAGGGGAGTAAAAAACTGTCAAAGAAGGCCAAGGGGGAAAAAGACAAGGAGAAAGACCAAGAGCCAATGTCAGAGTTAGAGCTGGAGACAGAGAAGAAGCCAGAGCTGAAGTGGGAGAAACAACAAGTAAGACCAAGAAGCCTGGTGAGAAGTGTTGTGGGGTGCTTTTCCTTTGCATCCAGGCCGGGGGTTGACCATGGGTAGTGTGACTGTGGGTACAGGGGTCGGGGCTTGAATGCCCATGTTCCTGGGAGCTTGTGTAAGAGAACAGGGGCTTAACTTAACAGCATTATTTTTCTTCTATCAATTTCCTTCGCAAGGCTTCCCCCTACTCCATGGATGATACAGACCCTCAGAAGTTCTTCATGTCAGGTAAGGAGGTGGATAATGACCAAAGGCATGGGGAGGCCCACAGGATGTCTAACTCAGTGTCCCCATCCACTCAGGCTTCACTGGCTATGTGCCCCGCGCCCGCTTCCTCTTTGGCTCCAGCTTTCCAGTGCTCACCAACCAGGCCCTGAAGGAATTTGGGCAGAAGAACTCACTGGGCAGGGCCCAGAAAGATTCTAAAACTCTGCCCTCGCTTCCCAGGACCTACCTTCAGAACCTAGGTCTTCTCCCTCACTATGGGGGCTACGTGCCAGGTGAGACCAGCCTGAGGGAGGCACCGTGGACTGGAATGTTTATGTGTGTGGGATGGGAGGGGGCATGGCTTGGAAGATTAGAACAAATGGGGGGATCTTGGATCATATGATTCAGCTTTATCATTAGACAAAAAAGGAAACTAAGGTAGCTCATAGGGCAGAGTTAGGACCAGAGTTTGGGTGGTCTAGGCAACTGGCTGAGAATTAAATGGCGTTCAGGCTACTGGCTATATATGACAGACTCTCTTGGCCGCACAGGGTATAAGTTCCAGTTTGGCCATACGTTTGGGCATCTCACTCATGATGCTCTGGGCCTCAGCACCACCCAAAAGCAGCTCCTGGCTTAGGTACCTGGATCTCAAGTTCGCCCTTCTATCCCGGCCATATTTTTGGAAGAAAAGAGTTGGTGGGCAGGGGGTGGGGGAGTGGGAGCACAAAGGAAATGGTTTGGAGGCTGAGCACCTTTTTTATTAATAGGTGTAATAAATAAATAAATAAATACATAAACAGAAGCTTGGGCTCTTCCTCCCTCTTCTGACGACCAGGCACTGGTCACAGCCTATTTACAGCTTGAGGGGGCTTAGGGATCTGGCCCCAATACTGTTACATATTCTTATTACCACCTTGCCTAGGGAACCCTACAGATGGCCTTCTAGGTCATCTCCTGCCACAGGTACTTGCTTTGTCTATGTAGACCCCCAGAAGGGTTGGCCCAGATGGGCCAGGGGAATCCTGGCAGCCCAGTGCTGCACCCCTTCCCTCCTTTCCTGGGTAGAGGTGTGGGCGAGGTCACTGGGACAGTTAAAGGGGAGTAATTAATACTGAGCACAGGGAGCAGGTGCCAGCACAGGGATATGTGGCCCCCAGCTCTCAGTCTACTTTCTGTAGCCAAGTCAGAGGGCTTGGGCAGGGCTCTTGGGCTCTGAGTCTGGGATTGATATGAGGGTCCCTGAGGCCACCAGCATGCACAGGGCCTCAGTTTTGGCTGCTTCCAGGGGTTGGACTTGGAGTTGGGGTCAACGTCACGTAGGCCAGAGGCACCAGGCCAGTGTCAGGGCCACGGCTGCAGCGCAGCCAGTCTCCTCCAGCTGGCCCCAGCACCCGCAGGATATCTCCCTTGCGGAAGCTCAGCTGTCCTGGGCCTGTGGCCAGATGGTGGCACAGAGCCTGCACCTCGCTGGAGAAATAACAAACGGAAGTCAGAAAAACCCCACTGATAGTCAAACCCAGCTCCCCAATCCTTCCATTTCTCCTAGCTCACCAGGGGGGCTTGGAGGGCAGGGCTGGAGAGTGTGGCTCCTGCAGGCTTTCCTTGGGCTCTGTCTCGCGGCGGGCACCCATAGTCTGTGCCACTCGTTGGAACATGGACTTGTCCAGGCTCAGCCAGTCCGAGGGCAGCCTAGGGGAGAGCAGCCAGGCTCTGTCTCTGTCCATGCCCTGGCTTAGGTCAGGCTTCCCTACTCCACATCCATACTATGGGGAGGATCTCACCTGTTTGTGGGCCGGGCTTCCCGCTGAACTTTTCGGGAACCAAAGAGATGTCCCCACTTGATGCCCCCAGGAGAAGGCTCTGAGGTCCCTTCCTCATTTTCTGCTGGTGGGGCAGTGGGCCCCTCCCTCTCCCGACTGCGTCTCAGCTCAGCGAGCACAGAATCTGGGGGGCTTCCCATCCAGAAGGGCCAGCCCCTCTCCCGGCCAAGGGCCTCCTCAGGGGCAGGGCAGGCCTCAGCCCCTTCCACTACTCCCTCTCGGGGGGGTGGAGCGTGGGGAGGCCCCCCACTTCCTGCCCCTTTCTTTTTTTCACTGCTGCTGCCACTGTTGCTATTGCTGCTACCTCGAGGGAACCTAGAAGCCTCAGTGGAGCCATCAATGTAGACCTGGGAGCTTTGCATGAGCTGGTACCACCAGCCAGCCTGTCCACCTCGGGCCCACCTGCCATGGCCTGAGCCCCCAGATGTCTCTGCCACCTCTTCTGTTTCCTCTTCCTCGTCCTCTTCTCCTCCTTCTGGAGCACCTACACCCTTCACTCGCTCCCCATGGGCTACCCTGTCCATGTCTCCAGGGCCCTCCTGGCCACGGGCCCGGGCCAACTGCAGCGTTGAGTGGGCAGATAGTAGCAGATCCTGGGACACCCGCAGCAGTTCCTTGTGCTGCCGCTGCTGTTGCCCACTTTGCAGCAGCCGATGTTGGAAAAGCAAGTCGAGGTTGAAGGGCAGCAGGGCCAGGGGCTGTAGCAGTAGCAGCAGCTCCTCAAAGAGGCCAGGGCACACGGTGTGAGCTGCACTCAGAAAGCCCCAGGGATGGTAGTGGGTCTGGATGATATCTAAGGGAAAGAGAGGGAATGAGCAGAGCCTGACCTGAGTGGGACACTGAGGTGGAGCCACTACATGCTGCTGCCCAGCAGTGTGCTGTTATGGTGCACACCAGGCCCCCTGCAGCGGTGCAGTGTACAAACTCCACTACCTGAAGTGACAGCTTTTGAATCTCAAAGAGAGGAGTTTCTGGTCACTCTAACTTCCAGACTGCCTGAGTCTCCTGTTGCCTGCAAGGGTCTAAGTCAAGTAGAAACCAGGAGAAGACTTGGGTCGATGCTTAAAGCTCTGAGGAAGAGGCTGTGTGGTCTGCGTGTACCCAACCCGCCCCCACCTCCAGCACCTGAAAATACAGTAATTTCTCCCTCTTTCTGAGTCTCTGAGGTCTGGCCTGTATTGACTTTGAGAGACATAGCAGGTTCTGGACTTTACCTTCATGGTTATAGAGGTGATTAAACCAGAACTCCAGGGACCGGATGCTGTAGGGAGACAGGTGAAAAAAATTGAGTCTTGTGTGGATAGAGCCAGATAATAAGGTACAAAGTACGCAGTACAGGGGTCAGATACAGAGAGCAAATATAGGTGAAATCTTTTTCTAGGGCCTGAATACTACCTACTTCTGGAAAGTCAGTGGGGACATGAGGAATGGGGTAGACATGTAATTTACAAGTGAGTCACTTCCCCTAGAAGCCCGCACAAGACCCAAGAAGTCAGCGTGGCTACTAAGTGAGAGGACAGGCAGCCAAAGAGGGTGATCTGGGCCCATACCTAAGAAAGGATACTACTACTGCATGGGTTCTAAGGTGGCCCTACAGTTCAAGAAGAATTTGGAAGCAGAACTGGAGGTGAATGGATCAGGGATCACAAGATCCAGAGACACCGAAGCCAATTAATTTCCAAATAAGCCACAGTATGGATTTGTAAAAGCAGGAGGCCATGTTGGTGATCAGTAACAGAGGGTGTAAAGGGAAAGCAGTGCCTACTGAGAGGCTGTCGCCAGCTGGGAAGAAAGGAAGCCTGGGCCCTGGCACAGATCTACTCCTTCTATCTCAGTTGAGGGAGCTGGTTCTTGAGAGGAGGCAGAGCCCGACAGGGCTGGCTGTAGAGAAGAGCCTATTGTTCCACACTCACTTGAGCAGGCCAAGAATGAAGGCATTGAAGCGCATTGTATGACTGGTGAGCTCTGGGAACTGGCTGACTTTGTTGTAGAGGCCATGCAGGACCTTGGTGGATGGGCCTGGGAGGAAGGCAGAGTTGGAGGTTACACAACTGACTTCTGTGGCCTTAAATTCAGTATGGGGTTCCAATATTGCCACCCAAAACTTACCTAGCTGTGTAGAAGCCTCAACTACACTCCATGGCATGTTCTTACGCTGCCCGATGATGACATCTAATACAAAGGACTTGAGCCCATCTTCTAGAATAGCCCGGACCGCAGGGCACAAGTACTTCAGAACCAGATGGCCTACATTGGGGCTCACTGAACTATTTCCCAGCTTTGCCTGCAAATGCAGTAGGGAAGTTCAGGAAATCATGTGAAGTCTGACCTTGGTTCTCTAAGTCAGCCCCATCCCGGAGTTCTAACTCTGGGCTCTAAATGCAAGAAAGCAAGGGAACAAAGCAAGAAAGCAGCATACAGGGTGAAGGTCTACAGATTTTCTTGCCTACCTTTACCCCAGGATCCCGGCTTGTGCCAAAATGGGCCACAATGAGGTCCACAGCTGTGTTAACAGCTTTTACCAGTCCTGCAAGAGAATTTGACAAGTCCTTGAACCAATTCTTAGTCGATCCAGTTGGAATGAACTTCGGTGTGGAAGGGGCAGCGCTCCCATACTTACTCGCAGTGTCCCTGGGTCTCACAGAGACACCCAGTCCTTGCCTTTTTCTGTTTGTGCATGTTCAGGCCCCTCCTGTACTCCCTGTCCCACACTGGTACTGAGAAATTGAGCCTATGAGTGCTCCACCACTGTGTCACATCCCCATCCCTTTTTTTAAATGTTAAATTTGGCGATGAGGTCTCACTGATTGTGGAGTCTAGCCTCAAACTTGCAATCCTCTTGCCTTGCCTTGCCTTTTCAAGTTGCTGGGATTATAGGTGTGCCCACCATGCCCAGCCCCTCATTTCTTTACCTCCCAGCCTGGGCCCAACTCAGTGCCACCTCTGCCAAGACCCTAAACCTTCTCACTTCCCAGCTTTTCTGATCCTGGATCAATTCTACTATCAATATCTGCTCTGAGAAAACAGGCCACTGACTGAGGATGGAGAAAATCCAGGTCCCTCATGTTGGTGCCAAACAAAGGCACTTCTTTGGTATTTGCCTAGTTAGCATCCTCTGCTAAACCCTTAAGCTGCTGTGTCAAATGTTTACTGCACTTCAAGCCCTTGGATCTACTTCACACAGAGAACAGAAGCCACTGGTTATGAATTCCTTTAACTTCCTTCTCCCTCCAAAACTTATATTGGATTTGCTGGGCATAGTGACGCACACTGTAATCCCAGCAGCTCGGAAGGCTGAGGCAGGAGGATCACAAGTTTGAGGCCAGCCTCAGCAACTTAGTGAGGCCTTAAGCAACTTAATGAGACCCATCTCAAAACAAAAAATGAAAAGGGCTGAGGTTGTGACTCAGTGGTAAAGCAACCCTGGGTTAAATCCCCAGTACAAAACAAAATGAAACTAAGCAACCAACCAAACAAAAAATCCAAACCCTACAAAAAACAGTATATCAGATTTATGCCTCCTCCTTCCCTCCCCCTTATCTTGGAGGCAGTGGCTGTTCCTTGCCCAGTTCTTTCTTCTCCCTAAGCTTTGGATCTCACCTGCCCAAGGAACTTGGGCAAGAAACTTTAGTTTCATCTTTTCCTCCTTCCAGGCTTCTACCCTTTAGCCTGCAATTATACTCAATTATTTCCCCACCACCTCCCTGAAACTTCTCTTTTAATTCAGTGGTCACTTATTTGCCAAATAGGGAGGTTCCTGTCAGTCCTCATCTAACCAGATATCACCAACATGCTTCCAGAAGCTGCCAGATCCTCTTGTCCCTTCAGTATGCCCACTACAGTATGCCCACTATGGTCACTTATTTGCCAAATAGGGAGGTTCCTGTCAGTCCTCATCTAACCAGATATCACCAACATGCTTCCAGAAGCTGCCAGGTCCTCTTGTCCCTTCAGTATGCCCACTACAGCACGTAGGCACTTATTACACAGTGATCTTCCTCACTATACTTTTAAAAAAATATTTTTTAAAAAAATTTATTCTAATTAGTTTTATATGACAGCAGAATGCATTTCGATTCACTGTACACAAATGATGCACAACTTTTCATTTCTCCGGTTGTACATGATATAGAGTCATACCATTCATTCAATCATACATGTACCTAGAGTAATGATGTCCATCTCATTCCACCATCTTTCCTATTCTCATGCCCCATCCCCACCCTCCCCTTTGCCCGGTCCAAAGTTCCTCCATTCCCCCATGCTCCCACCACCCATTCCTCACTATATTTGGCTCAGTGAGGGTAGGGGCCGAGGTCTGGTGCCTAAGCATTTGAAAATGACACTCGCTCACTCACAGTACATGAACCTCTACCTCTTGCTCCAGTGCTCTCCAGGTCCTTCTCAGCACTTTGACTTTTAAGACAGGGAGATATTCTGGAGGCCTAGATAGTAGGGCAACAGACGTACATAGGTAGTGGCAGCAGAATCCCTGGCCTGAGCTGGGGATTGTATGTACCTTTCTTCTGAAGGAGGTCGATAGAAATGGCTTCTGAGTTGCCATCTGGGGACAGACAAAACTCAGCTGGAGGCTTCTCAGTCAAGGAGAAGGGGTCTTGCAAGTCAGGGCAGGTCAGTGTTAACGGCTTCACTACCTGACCTGTAAATAAGAGAAAAATCAATCCCAAACAACTCTTTTTCCAAGAGTTCCAGCTCAGTTCACTATCTTAGACTCTCTCTGAGACACATTCCTATGGAACTGATCCCTTTTCCAGCCCTTCCCAGCTGTGGCAGAGCCTGCCCTGGGTGTACTGGGGACCTTGCCCACACACCATTTAGTCGACAATTCAGATGGCTAGCAGCACTGAAGGAACCAGGGAACTCAAAGATGGGGTTCCTGCGGGCCAGCCGAGCTTCCTGTGGCCTTCGGTCTAGGCTCCCTGACAAACCAGGTGGCCCTAGTGGGTTCTTCCGCCTGTATTCCCGCCACTTGAGGGCTTGAGGGGATAGGTGGTTGGCTGGAAGCAGAAGATCAGCAGAAGAAACAGACAAGCAAGAGTTAAAAGGAGACAGCATTTCATGTCCAACCAGTGGGCCCACTAAAGCCTCAGGGTTAGGGCGCTGGGGAAGGAGATGCAAATATTTCAACCCCTGTCCGCAGGCTAGAATATAAGAAACCATTCAAAGGAGAGGTAGAATTGCTTGGGCTGGGGATGAAGTCCATACCATTACTGGGTCTGGAGGCCATGCTGCCCTCACCACCTCCTCGGGTCAGGCTTTCTGCCCGGCTGAAGCCAGATCTCCAGGAGCCCAGAGGTGGCAAGCTTCCTGTTCCATGGAGTCGGTATTCAGCCAAGGTCAGTATCTTCTGATCCTCCTTCTGTGGCTGCTGGGAGGTGGCAGGCCGGACGGTAGGAAGACAGGAGTGGTTCCATGGGGGCAGGCTTTCTGTGGCTGTGGCCTGCTCTGGAGGAGGGGAGCATGAAGTAGAGGCAGAAGAGTCAGTGCTGGGCCCAAAGGGGCCAGCACTCCGGATGGGGGAGTAGCTGCCCAGGGGTGATGGCCGTAAGGTCTCTGGCTCAGGCCCAGCTTTCCTGGCACCTCTGCCAGTGTTTCGGGGTGTGGACACCTGTGGCTCCCCTGAGGGAGCTGGGGCTGGGCCTGGAGCAGTGGGGACAGCCAGTGGGGCAGGCTGCTGTGCACGGCTGCAGCCAGAGAGGCTGTAGAGCTGGGAAAGGCTGTGGAGAGCCCGGGCCTTGGCCAGCTGCTTGGGGAAGTGGTGCTGGAACACGAAGGGCTGAATAGGCAGCGTGGTTGGCCTCTGCTCCTTGCTGTAGCGAAGGACTGGTCGGCTCTCAGCACCACCCCCTGTAGCAACAGGTATGGAGAAGGAATCAGACACTGAAACCCACCATGAAGAAAACACAGAAGCATAGACAGTAGATGATGATGCCCCCTGGGGAAGAGGGGCAGGACCTAGATTGTTCGAACTGAATAGGGCAGAAGTCATGGGAGGGACACTGTTCCTTCTGTAACATGTTTCCTATGTTTTTATGATACTGGTCTGTTTATATCTCTTTGCTGTTCAATCCTTCTTCATTTTCTTCACTTCAAAGGTACATGTACCTTAAGACACAATTCTTATATCTCACTTCACACTTTCTCTCTTGCATAGAATAGCTTAAGTTCAGACTTTCATATAAATGACTCACGAGCCCACAGCATTAACTTTGACTTCCTTTTTGATCTTTAGATTCTTCTGATGTAGGGCTCTTTCACTAAGAATATGCTACTTTAAAACAGCTTCCCTGATACTTTCTTCCATTTTTGTTACTGGCAGAAACACCATTTTTTTTTTCTTTTTTTGGTCCTGGAGATTGAACCCAGGAGTGCTTTACCAATAAGCCACAGCCCCAGACCTTTTTACTTTTTAAATTTTGACACAGGGTCTCACTAAGTTCCTAAGGACCATTCTAACTTGCTGAGGCTGGCCTCAAACTTGAGATCCTACCGCCTCACTCTCCCAAATTATTGGGATTATTGGGACTACAGGTGTGCCACGCCCCACAGAAACACCGTTTTCTTTGTTTCTAAGGCCTAAACTCTTAAGAGTTAGAGTCACAGATTCTCAGTGTTTGTTATTGACAATAACTTTGTCATGTTATTGACTCATTCATCATCCTGTCTCCACTCATATTAGATTGTTTCATTCTTGAGCAAATCACCATTTTTTTTTTTTTAGTACTGAGGCTTGAACCCAGGGCCTGTCATGTGCTAGGCAAATAAACACTCTACTACTGAGCTGCATCCCCAATAGTTAGCAAGACAGGGTCTCCATCAGTTGCCAAGGCTGGCCTTGAACTTGCAATCCTCCTGCCTCAACCTTCTAAGCAGCTGGGATTCAGGTGTATACCACCACACCCTGAAAAATACTTCTTTACTTGTAGCAGCCCAAATCAGCCTTCCTGTTATCCTTCTACCCCCAAAGCTGCTCTTCCATGACCCTGGCACTGGAACCTCAGAATCCACATCTGTTCCCTCTGCATAAGCATGTTGATGTCTTGTTCTTTCAGTCAGTCTTCAGGTCAGAAGACTTCATGGGGTTCAGAACTAAACACAGAACCCCAGGACCGTGTTTGTGTATATACCACATGCCTAAGAAAACACAGAGCATGTGGTGGACCTGTGAATGAACACAAGGTGGCGCCACAAACATTTTCAAAAACCCTGGGTGTGGCTCACTGAAAGAGTGGCTCAAAACTCTATTATAGAGACAGGACTATATTCTTACTTAACAGTTAACATTTTAAACCTTAGAGACATTAAGTCATTTGCTCAAGTTCATAGCCAGAATTCTGTCTAGGCCAGATTCTGACTTTGGGGTCTAAGTTCTCTCCACCACATTACACTACTCACAATGTGAAGTCAGCCTGGTTTTCCTACACCTCATCTCTTTTACATCAGTGAGTCATGATGGATGGGAACCACAGCCCCATTAGGGAGGTGTTTCAGAAACATGCCCTGGGGACATTTTCAAACTATATCCTCCCACCATCCCTAGTGTTATTCTCCCTTGCTTACTTTGTTCTAGCCACACTTTCCTTCTGTTCTTACAAACTAATTTCATTAACACCTTGTTGCCTTTTGCACCCGTGACTGTGACTTCTTTCTTTCTAAAATCTCACTACTCAGACATCAACTCTAATATCACTCCTCCCAGTAAGACCTTCTCTGACCACCCTCACCCCTCTGGCAGGTCACTCTGTCTCATCACCCTGTTTCTTCTTCTTTTTAGCATTTTAATATCATCAGAAATTATTTTTGGGTATTTATTGCCTATTACTTTTTGTAAAAGCCCCAGAAAAATAGGGATTATACTGTTCTTTGCTGTATCCCCAGGGCCCAACATAGGGCCTGGTACATAGTAGGTACTGAATAGTTGAATGAATCCCCAGTTTTGATTCATGCCAGTTTCACTGCATTCACAATCACTATACATAAATCAGCTAGCCTTTTGAAATAATTTACCTTATTTTATCTCCTGTGGTTTCTAGTGACCACAGAAAAAAATCAAATGTTCTCAGGTGAGTAGGTGCCTGCACATGGCATAAATCAGGCTGCTCTTTCCTAGGACTTCCATACTTACCATCCTTAACTCTGTTCTCCCTACCCATCCCCATTTCCTTCTTTCCTTTCTTTTTCTCTCCCTCCCCACTTCCTTCCCTTTTTTTTTTTTGGCACTGGGAATTGAACCAAGAGACTGTCACATGCTAAACAAGTGCTCTACAAATAACTATGCTCCCAGTCCTTGAAAAAAATTGAGAAAAAAATTTTGAAACAGGGTCTAAATTTCTCAGGGCAGCCTGCAATTTGTGATCCTCTTGCCTCATACTGGCAAGTAGCTGGATTACAAACCTGCCCTTCCATGCCCAACTCCATCCCCATTTTTAAGCACACTGTTATCTCCATTGGGAACATCATCCTTCTTTCTACTTAATCACATTTCAAGGCTGAGCTGATGCTGACTGATATCAGATTAGGTCCTCTCAACCACAGCTTTATTGCACCAACTACACAGACTATGTCTGAATTAACTATTTATTCCTACTCTTTAAAAAGCCTCCTTATAATGCCCCAGGGTGTGAATTGGGGCAGGAGAATCAGATAAGGAGGCCCACTCTGGGGAATGTGTCTCATTTCTCTCAGGGAATATAGAGAGCAGGTTTTATCACTTTTCTATGTGATAGTCCTTAAGAAAATTAGAGACAGAGGCTATATTCACTTGAGTTTGTTGTTCTCTGGGTGAACAGCCCAAGTCTTCAAGTTTCTTCTTAAAATGTAGTGCCCAGAACTCCATGGAATACCAGTAAGCACTCATTGGGTCAGAAGTGTGGGGGAAATCAGCTCTTCCCACTGGAATCTATGAATAAATGTATGATTTTAACTTTGAAAAAAATTACATATATATTTTGTAGTTGTAGATGGACTGAATGCTTTTATTTTATTTATTTTTGCTAAGGATCAAACCCAGTGCCTCACACACGCTAGGTGATTCTCAGCACCACATAAAAACAAATAAACACACAAAAAAAGGTATTGTGTCCATCTACAACTAAAAAAATAAATATTTATAAATAAATAAATAAATAATAAAGGTATGGTGTCCAACTACAATTGTGTGTATCAAGTCAGGATAAAAGCCCTGTGGTAGGTTACTAGAGATTT